CATCTCACTTCCCCCCCCCCCCCCCCCCCCCCCCCCAAATCGCGCGGCACCCAGCGCCTCCCAACGTCCACATTCCTTTCCTTGCGACGCGCCCATGACATATGCGCCGCGTTCGCCCAACATCGGCGGCCTCCAGCCACGGCCCCGCCGTTCCCGCCTTCTCAGCCGAACGACACAGCTCCTCGCCCTTAGATTTGGTTGGGTCGTCGTCGTGATCTGGTACGAGGTAAGCTGACCTTGACTTCACACATCTAACTCGCCAGGCCGGCGAGTTCTTCAGCTCGCTTTCGAGCTGCCGCTTCCCCGATTCCAAGCTACGACAGGTCTCGGGCACGGACCCAACTCATGTCGTTCTCGTCGCCGATCCGCACGTGCCGCATCCCATCCTATCACACCCAGAAAACGCTCGACCATGGGTCAACAGCGTGCGCCAGCATATGGAGGAGCTGTTCATGCGCAAGAGCTGGAACGTCGTCCGCCGCTTGGGACGCATTGACGCAGTCGTCTTCCTTGGTGACATGCTCGATTGGGGACGAGGGAATCTCTCAGATCAAGAGTACGTCATGTGTGCACACGTACTAGTAGCTCATCACTCACATCAGATACGAGGATTATTATCAGCTCTTCCTTTCGATCTTTACGTTACCCCAGGACGTCAAGACGTACTATATTCCCGGAAACAACGACATTCCCCTGGCGCGGACGAGCCGATACTTCTCCCCTCTTGCTCGGCAGCGCTACGTTGAACACTTTGGCGCACCCAACCAAGTTGTTAACATTTCTAACCACTCGCTCGTTCTGCTTGATGCCATCGGGCTTGTCGAGGAAGATTACCGCCGTTATGCGTCAGAGGTACAATTTGGCGAGTGGGACGGCGTCCGCGGCGGGGTCATTGAGTTTGTCAAGAAGGTCGGCCAAGGTGAGCTGCGCAAGCGTCCAACCTGACCGCAGAGCGCCCCCCATCACCAATTCTTGTCTCGCACATCCCGCTCGCACGCCCCGAGTCGGCAACATGCGGCCCACTAAGCGAGCACGGCCGCATTCTTAAAGGCGTTGGACCAGGATACCAGAACCTGTTGGGGTCTGAGACGAGCCGCTTCCTGCTCAATGAGATCAAACCCGACATTGTTTTCAGTGGAGACGACCACGACTATTGCGAAATATCCCACGGCGGTCGCATCAGGGAGGTGACTGTCAAATCGTTTAGCTCAAACGCAGGCGTTCGCCGCCCCGGTCTCCAGCTTCTGTCCCTTGTCCCACCACAACCTGGAGAAGCAGGCATCGCCGATGTTCCCTGCATCCTCCCTGATCAGTTGGGCGTGTACCAGCGCGTCTACGCCCCGCTCATTATCCTCACATTTATCTATCTCTTTTACATGAACATTCGCGCAGCATGGTCGCGCACACACCGCCTCTCCGAGAAGAGTCGGCTCCACATCGTCGAGGAGAAGCTTGAGCGCCCGGTGCCGCTCACACTTCCTTCTCGGCGATCGGCACAGCATTTGCAGACGTTGACGATGACTAGGGAACGGCACAGTGGCGCAGGTCTATCACCAGGCCCGTCGGCACCAGCGTCTCCGATCGCGAGCCCTCGCTTGGGGTTGCACGACGATGATGACACGCACTCGCCGTCTCTCTCGCGCCGCTCCAGTTATGGCGCCGACTTGAACCACGCCGACTACCCCACCCCGCGGAGGAGTGCTAGCGGCGGCCTCTTGCCTCTTCCGAACAACACGCAGACGCCTCGCCGGGTTGTCACGCTCCCGCGCATGATGAGCGCGAGCGAGTGGGCGTCCGCTGCAAAAGCCAAGGATATGAGTGTACTCAGCCTTGTGGCTGACCAGAGCCGGGGGCCGATCCACCGTGCCAGGAGTTTCGCGCGCTGGCTATGGCGGACGCGCCACAGCGTTATTGTGCGCAGCACAGGTGACATGCTCGGCATTGCGTTGCCTGCTATATTAGTGTGGTGTCTTCTGAACGCCATGTTTGCGGGGTGGCTCTTCTAGCACCAAGCAAAGGACATTATGGACAAACGTCGCCTGTAAGCATGACCAATATGTAGTCTTACTGTTCTGAGGGACGTTGGAGATGTACGGACGGGGGGCTTATGCATTCACGAGTAGTTATGTCATGTCAGTCGCGCACTTTGCCGATGGGCTCCGCCACCTGGCTCTTGCGAGCTCGGGGGGGCCGCGGGCATGCGGCGACGCCACGAGCGACTTCGGTGGCCGAGGTGGTCGTCGTCTCTATGCAATCCTGCGCCGCCAAGGTGTGCGGACTGCGCTGTGAGGTGGGCTGGGTGCCGTCCAGGGTCGGCCATGCTATGTAGCTGTGTAGGCGCTCTCCACCCTAGGGGAACGGCTTACGTTGGAGCGCCGCGGATACTTCAACGGCGCTGTGGAAGGTGGGGCCGGCGACGTGGGTGTCCGCTCGCCATATGCCGAGGTCGACATGTCCACGCCAGAAGTGCGTCCTCGCGCGCGTACTCGGGCTCGACTGGGGATGGATGTCGTCGCACTGCTAAGCTTCGACCCGATCAGTCCGGACGTCACTTTCAGGATGGTGGGCACTTCCTCGTCACCTTAGACCAAGCCAGCGTTGTAGTCCGCCTTCAATGTATGTCGCCAGAGTCGTTGTGCAACCTCCGGTCGCAGACCGAGCGGCTCGCCCCCGCGGCAAGTGCCCGGAGCACAGATCCCGACTCCAGCCCTCGATCTCTGATGGCCGCAATCACACCAACGAAGGGGGGGTTAGGTTTGAATACCACTTGAACTGCGGGGAAGGGAACCGCATGGTGCGCCTCTCGAGCGCTGTGGACCCCAACCAGGGCGAAATCCCGGACGAAACCTCCCAAAGCATATCAGCTCTCAAAACAAGAGGAATATTATTTTTAAAGTATTAAGATAGGTAATCATAGTGTTTGAGATGGTGGAAAGCCCTTTGTGTCGATATCATCGACATCACGACAGGCGTCGGAGAGGTGGTCGGATCCGTTCCGGAGCGGAGCCGACGGTGGACTCGATGTGAGCCAGGCACCAGGCGAGTCGGGTACCGCATGTGGAACCAAACAGCGTATGCTCTCTTCTCCTCGTCACTTTCTCCTCACTCCATTACACGTGCCATGGACGAACATCACGCCAAGACTAACCAAGCAAACTGGGACAACCGCGCGGTGCTGCACGCCCGCCCCGACACAGGCTACTGCACCCGTCAATACGTGGACGACAAGACCGGCCTTTCCAACGTGGTCTCGTTCGACCGCCTGCGCCTGGGCGACATCCGCGGCCTGCGCGCCGTCCACCTCCAATGCCACATCGGGACGGACACGCTCTCGCTCGCGCGCCTCGGCGCGGCCGTCACCGGTCTGGATTTCAGCGCGGCCTCGATCGCTGCCGCGCGCGCTCTCGTCTCCGAGACAGGCGACGCCGTCTCCTTCGTCGTCTCCGACGTCTACGCGGCCCGCGCGTCTCTCCCCGGCCTCTTCGACCTCGTGTACACCGGCATCGGCGCGCTCTGCTGGCTCCCCGACATTGCGGGGTGGGCGGGCGTCGTCGCCTCGCTCCTCGCGCCCGGCGGGCGGCTGTTCTTGCGCGAAGGCCACCCGATCCTCTCCGCTGTAGACGAGCGGATTGCGGGCGGGCCCACCTTGCGGTTCCCGTACTTCAACGCCGCGCCGATGGAGTGGGACGAAGAGAACACGTATGTCGACGCTCCCCAGAAGTTGGACGCGACGAGGAGCTTCCAGTGGAACCATGGGGTCGGAGAGGTTGTTACCGCCCTCATAGGAGCCGGGCTGCGCATCGAGGTGCTCGAGGAACACGATAGCGTGCCGTGGGAGGCGATGCCGGGGGCCATGGAGAGGCGGGGGCTCGACGAGTGGGCGTTGAAGGAGTATAGTGGGTGCATGCCTCTGTCGTATACCCTAGTGGCGCGGAAGCCGGAGTAGAGTTGGCTAGCAAATGGAGACGACTGCGGGACGCGAGACTGGTCGCGGCGTACGTTTCAGTGCCTTCGTTGTACTCGAGGAAGTGGCATCTCCCGGTAGAGATTAGCGATGCTTGCAAAATGCGGCCACTTTACACAGAAGCATACGTCGCTCTCGTCTTTTGAACTTGCTCTTTCTACTGATTTGAGAGGCGGTCCACGCACAGATCGACCATCAGCTAATACCTTAATCCACCGCTAAGTGTTTCAGCATTCAGCTGCAGCTGTACGGCATCTGGGTAGACTCCTTCAGCTTTAAAGCAAAGGTGGCGGCATAATCGCTTTCGCCGAGCTGCGAGAGATCCTCGTGGCGGTTTCCCAGGGTCCTGACCGAGCCGAAGCGAGCTGGGGTGCTCGAGATGATTTCCGGTATATTTACAGGTATGCAAGGCTGTGGCGTGGCCGTGGTATAGACAGAGCTGGACAAATGGTTGACTGCGGAGTGTGCGGAGGGAGGTGAGGGATGCGCGGGTAGACGAGATATGAAGCCCGGTCGCAGGCAAATGTGAGTCGTCCGCACAGCTTTTCCTTGACCAGTGATCCTGCCTAGTCTGCGTAAGGTATAAGCCGCTCTGTTCCGATCCCACATTAATAATATGTATACCATCATGACTTCGGTACTGTGAAGGCCGGTTGCTCGTGCATGATGGTCCGCGGTTAAACCTCGGGTATTACCATCTTGGTCCACTTCTCGTTCCCACATCCATCTCACCTGCACAACTCTGCCTCAGGTGCATACAACATGCACCGAGCGGCTGCGTACATGCATATCTGCCTGATAACACCACGCCGATGAGTTGTGTACATACACAGTGATTGTCGGACACCGGCCTGGACTTGACGCGTTTGCCTCCGCGCCACGTCACATCATCTTCCCGCCTCGTCCATCCACGCGCCGACTTTCCGCCCTGCCGCCTGTAAGCTCCGTCACCATCTCCATCCTCTACTCCCAACTCCACACCAACTCACACTCCTTCTCCATGTCGGTCCAGCCGCGCCTCAGGCGCCCCAGGCCCGGCAGTCCCGAGCTGCCGCACACCGTCGAGCGTGCATACTCGGACGAGCACAAGGTTCGTGCGGCCTAGGCTGACCTCCACTCTCTCAGTTCCTCCACCATTGTTTTGCCATCTTATCAAGGCTAGACAACGGGGAGCATGGTGCGCACTAGTCTCCGCACTACCATCACCTCAGGACTTTGCTTTCAAGTCATCTTTCACAGTTGCTGCACCTCCCGTTGGCTGCGCGCTCCCCATTCCTCTCGGCACCCTCAGACCTCCCCCCATCCCCACCTCGATGTCGCTGACCGTAGCGCGACGCAGCAATGCACCCCCGCAAACCCCCCTCGGACACTTCGATACGCTCCGAACACCTCACCTCGTACGGCACCTGCCTCGCTCTCACCGTGCTCGCCTTCATCGTCCGTTTCTGGCGCATCTCGCACCCCGACGAGGTCGTCTTCGATGAGGTGCACTTCGGTGGCTTTGCGAGCCAGTACCTCAGGCGCGAGTACTACTTTGACGTGCACCCGCCGCTCGCCAAGATGCTGAACGCGCTTGCTGGATGGCTTGTTGGTTTCGACGGCTCCTTCGACTTCGAGAACATCGGCGACTCGTACCCCGAGCACAACGTGCCGTACATCGGCATGCGGTCGTTTGTGGCAGTGATGGGCGCTATCACTGTGCCCATCGTGTACGCTACGATGCGCGAGTCTGGGTACCCCGTTGCGATCGCTGCGTTCTCCGCTGTGCTCATTCTATTCGGTGAGTTGGAGCATGTAGTCCGCCTCACTCGGCGTCCCGGCCATCCTTAGTCCCAACGCGCTCGCGTCGTTCCGCTCGCGCTGACCACAGACAACGGCCACGTTACTCAGACCCGTCTGATTCTTCTCGACGCTGCCCTCGTTCTCTTCATGGCCCTCTCGCTTTTCTGCTACGTCAAGTTCCACCAGCAGCGCTACCGCGAGTTTGGCCGCGACTGGTGGTTTTGGATGATTGCAACCGGCGCATCCCTCGCCCTTACGCTCGGCTGCAAGATGGTCGGCCTATTCACGTTCTTTACCGTTGGCGCGGCCGTTGTCTGGGACCTCTGGAATATCCTCGACATTAAGCGCGGCCACCCAATGGTGAGTTCTTCCTCTTCTGACCATCTCACACACCATTCTCACTCCCTCGTGACCGAAAACTAACCCCAGTCCTATTTCTGGCGCCACTTCATCTACCGCGCCATCGGCCTCATCATTGTCCCCTTCATCATCTACCTTTCCTTCTTCTGGGTCCACTTCAAGATCCTCAAGTTCTCTGGGCCTGGCGACACCTTTATGTCGCCAGCTTTCCAGGAGACGCTCGCTGGCAATGAGCTACTTCTCAATGCCCAGGGTGAGTTCAAGGCCTTTAAGGTCACTGACTTGGGTAGAGGTCCGCTACTACGACACCATCACGCTCAAGCACAAGGATACGAAGCAGTTCCTCCACTCCCACCCCGAGCGCTATCCCTTGCGCTACCCCGACGGCCGCATCAGCTCGCAAGGGCAGCAGGTCACCTGTTACGCGCACAACGACACTAACAACCACTGGCAGATCATCCCGACGCGCGAGGTGCCGTCGCACGGTCGCGGCCGGGTTGTGCGTCACAACGACGTGGTCCAGTTCCGCCACATCAACACGAACACGCTTCTCCTGACGCACGACGTCGCATCGCCCACTATGCCCACGAACCAGGAGTTCACCACGGTCGCACCTGACAACGAGGAGCGCCGCGAGGAGACGTTTTTCCAGCTGCAGATGATCGAGGCGCACGACGGCGAGGCCATCAAGACCCTCGCCTCCCACTTCAAGGTCATGCACATGAAGACGCGTGTGCTGCTGTGGACCCACAAGCAGGCTCTGCCAGAGTGGGCATTTGAGCAGCAGGAGGTGAACGGGAACAAGAATGCGAACGACCGCACCGCGCTGTGGTACGCAGGCGACATCATCGAGGACGGGCAGGGGCAAGACTTCCGCAACCGCACAGCCCACGTCGAGGACAAGCCGGTGCGGCACATCAACTTCTTCAAGAAGTGGTGGGAGCTGCAGATCCTCATGCTGCAGCACAACGCTGGCCTGTCCTCGTCACACCCGTACGCGAGCACGCCCATCGAGTGGCCGTTCTGCCTGAACGGCGTGAGCTTCTGGACCGAGAACAGCAAGCAGCAGCAGATCTACATGGTCGGCAACCTGCTCGACTGGTGGATCTGCTCGATCACCGTCAGCGTGTTCGTGGGCATCATCGCGGCGGACACGATCGCGCGCCGCCGCGGCGTCGAGCCCATCGAAGAGGACGTCCGCAACCGCCTCTACCGCAACACAGGCTTCTTCCTCGGCGCGTGGGCGTTCCACTACTTCCCCTTCTACACCATGGCCCGCCAACGCTTCCTGCACCACTACTTGCCGGCACACCTCGCGTCGGCGCTCGTCGCGGGCAGCATCCTCAACTTCATCCTCGTCGAGGAGGTCAACTACCCCATGTCTGTCGCGGGACCGCGCACCCGCCTCCGCCCCGCCACGCGCGCCTACGTCAGCCGCAAGGGCTTGGTCGTGCTCGGCGTCCTGTCGGCTGCCGTCGTCGGGTGCTTCCTTTACGAGGCGCCGTTCACCTACGGCCTCCCGCTCTCCAGCACGCAGGTCAGCGCCCGCAAGCTCCTCAGCACTTGGACGCTCCACTTCGAGGCCAAGGTCACACACGACGTCGACGCCGTCGCTGACGCGCCACCAGTGGTCGCGGAGGATGTGGCGGAGGACGACTTTGCAGACAGCGCAGTCAACGACTCGCCTGACGAGCAGATTGAACTCTCGTAGACATTGTCAAAAATCTTCTCTCATATCCTATGAAGCCTGCTTGATATACAGGTACATGCATCACATTCAAAGAATACATAGATACGCAACAAGTGGGTGTGCCACGAAAGGCATTACTCTGACGGGGGTGGGATCTCTCGGGGTGAGGTCATAGCCAAGCGCTTGGGCGACCGATCTGGCGTAGAGTTGGTGGTCGCGGGCTGGTCGCGCTTGGTGGGCACAACGCTCACGTAGGCCGACGGGGCAGTGGCGAGCACAGAAGGGGGAGGCGGGGGTATGGTGATGGGCAGCCCGGCTCGCGGGGGCGTGGGTGGCTGCAGGCGCGGGCTCACGGATGTGGAAGCACCATTGGCGACGCCAGCAGTGGACCCGGTCAAGCTCACGGGCAACTGGAACGACGAGAACATGTTCACGTCGTCCCACGGGACCTGCTTGTGGGTTGCGTAGAAGACGCTCCCGCCATTGCGCAGGTTCGACGCCGGCTGGTTGGGCACTGGGCCGGGGCTGGCGGGCTGGCCGTTTGGCGCGTGGATGAGAGGCGAGTAGCTTGGGGGCTGAGAGCCGGAGGGAGTGGACCCGGGCGGAGTTGCCTGTGAGGGAATAATGCGCAAGCTGGTTGGCGTCCCCTGACTGGCACCGGGGTCGGTCTTGCGCCGCTTGCGACCATCGGCTTGATCGGGCACCCAGACTGGGCGCTGGAAGTTCTCAGGTAAGGCGGGGCCGTGGTACTCGGTGGCGAAAAGGATCACGGCATCATCATTTGGTGGCAGTGTGACCATGATGGGCGTCTCCGAGTACACGAAGATGCTCTGCCGCCAGTCGACGTACTCATCAGTGCCAGACGAGCCTGCCATGTCAGCGATACTCGCCACAGCTGACGTACTGGTCATCTGGACCCGAATATCAGGGCCACGCGGGGCGGGCTTGCCCTGCTTGACAATGCAAAATGGACACTTCCATGCGACACGCGAGTTGCTGTTGATTGGCGCCTTGACGCACGACGCGTGGAAGCCCTGCTCACACTTGCCGCACTCAACCGTGAGGTGGGCATCAGGCGGGTCTCTGGAGCAGAGGCATTGGAACGCGTGCGCCGCCGCATGATAGAAGTCAAAGCGGGGCTTGCGCGCGCGTAGCCGCCCAGCGCCAGCAGCAGCACCCTTTGGCACACCTGTCGTTGTGTCTGTGAGCTCACGCAGGCGGTGGTACAGCCAGTCCTCAAAGATGATCTTCTGGTTGGTAACGTGGTTCCAGGCGTCCAGCAGAACCGGCAGGGTCCAAATTTTGCGCAAGAGATGACTGATCTCGGGTGCATCCTTGCGAGACGGGGCGTTGGGCGAAACGATGAGATTCACGACCCTTTCCGCATACCGAAGCGTGTGCTCCAAGGCATCTTTGATGATATCCCACTCGGGCGGGTGAAGCGCGAACTTGTACCTCACGGGATCGACGTGCAACGCTAGCTTGTCGAAAGACGGGCGATCGTCATACTGGAGCTTGATGCACATCTGGCACTGGAACGACTCGGAAGCCGCCTGAATCCCTGCAGCTGTCTTGGCGGTGATGCCGACGCACTTGGGGTGATATGTCCCCTCGCAGACCAGGCAGGTCACCATGTTTGGGGTGGCCGGCCAGCGGCAAAAGCACGCGTGATTGTCGTTCGGCGTGTCGTCGTCCTCGGCCAAATGTTCCTCGATCTCGCGCGCAAGAGTCTTGAGCGACTGAAAAACGCTCTTCTCCGCGACATTAAGGGTCCGGGCGATTGACTGCAGCCACTCATCGATGTGCTCAAGCTCTCGGGAAAGCTGCGTGACCTCTGGGATGTGTACGCGACGCATGGGGCCGTTTGCCGAGCTGACGGTCTTGAGAAGCCGCTGGGCTGTCGCAGCTGAACCGCGGCTCTCCATCAACCCAGCAGCAGTTGACTGCCAAGACGTCGCAACCTTGCGAATGTTCTCCAGTTGGCGCATCTTTTCCAAGGAGGTCGGCGTATACTCATGGCCTTCGATCAGGTGGGTCACAGCCTCAATCGTGATTGATTTCGACGTCAGGAGGGTGTCGACGGCCTCTACCCACTCGCGCCCCAACTGCGCGAGCCGCTGCAACTCAACAACATGTGGGTGATTGTCGGACACACCGTACTCTTTGGCCTCTTCGAGGAGGTGGAGAATGTCCATGTACTGCAGTGTGCGGTCGTCCACTTCTTCGTCGATCTTGCGGAACCACTGCAGACGATTGACAACGGTGCGGAGCTGAGAAACAACTGGCAGGTCGAGGTTCAAGCTCTCCCCCAGAATCAAGGCAGTCGAGCACGTATCATAGTCGAGGGCGTCATCAGGCTTGGAGAGGATGTCCGCGGCATCGCTCTCGAACTGGTCCATCTGGGCAACAACTTGGCGCAGTTGGCCTATCTCGGGTGCGTCAAACGCAAGCTTCTCGGCCTCTGCGACAAGGGAGCGAAGAGCTGCGGGACTGCGGTCCACATCGTCATCGTCCCCTGCAGCCAGTTCGCTTTGCCGACCCTTACGCCGACGAGCAGCGCTCTTTCGAGTAAATATAGCGGTCGCACGGTCCACCCATGCGCTGGCTCGCTGCAAAAACGCGCGCACATCGTCCAAGCCCTCGAGCACATGCGGGATGCGATCCCCATCAGCTACCAGCTGCTTGATGCTCTTAAGCTGCGGCCTCGCGGTTTCAAGCAGAGACTCGAGCCGGTTCTGCCAAGCTTCGGGTTGAGCGGCTCGAGCCTCAACTACTTGGACAATTTCCCGCAGCTGGTCTTCAGAGTAACGCATCCGCAAAGTCTTCTGCGAGGGGGCGCAACCGCACAACAGGTCAAAGTGGTCGAGGCACGACACCACATTGGTGCAAGTGCAGGTAACCTGCGACAAGTAGCAGAACCCTTTGCACACGCAGCACTGGTACTGCGCCTCGGGAACGTCCTCATTGTGAAGAACTTCGTTAATGCCAGGTAGTGACGCTCGCAGATTGTCCCGCCCGGCGGTTTCCTCGTCCAACATTACCCGAAGGTTGTCCTGGAGCCATAGAGCTGTCTTGATGGTGTCCGAGTACAGCGTGATAGTGATCAAGAGCTCTTCGTGGGAGAAGACGGGAGGCTTGGCGTGTTGGGCATATCGCCGGACTGATTCGTGTCCATCCTTGAGCCAGTCCGGGAGGGCAAAGTTTACGGCCTCGTTGAAATTGAGCTGCGGGTAAGTAATGAGAAAATGAGTCAAAACTCACGCCGTGGTTGAAGCCACAATGGTACGCCTTAGGGAAGGTGATGACAAACTCGTTTGGCCTCTGATCGCAGGCATAAACGTCCACACCTTGGTCTCGCAAGCGGCCAGGGTTCATCATCGTGACCAGCTGATAGAGAAGAGCTGGCTGGCGCTCGAAAAGCTCTGGCGCCTCACGTTTGATCGCGTCTTCAAACTTGTCCGCTTGGTCGCCTGGAATACCGTACCAGGTCTTGGTCTCACCCCAGAACACTGAGCGTGAGCTCACTGGCATACAAGTAGCGTCCGGTAAACTCACTGTAATTGACACTGTACGTGTAGTGGTCTTCGTTGTGCCAGCAGAATGCCGAGAAGAGCATGCCCACGTAGATCCAGGGCACCGTCATCCCCGAGATATCCGATTTGATGTACCGCAGCAACGAGTCTGACACGATGGGCATATTGTTGAGATTCCATCCGTCGCGCGACAAAGGATGAGTGGGGAATGTTTCCAGAGTCGGAGCGGCACTTCCGTGGGTGGTAGAGTGCACGTCGGCGCCGTACTCGACTTCGACAGTATCCTCCTGACTTTCGACGAGACGCCAGAATTCACGCTCCACATCGTCCTCGGAGACGATCGAGGTGCCAATTTGACGTGTGAAGAGCCCCGGGGTAGAGTGTGAGGGGGCGTATTTGGTGAACCATTCTTCTGTGAATGCGGCATCGCGCGCCTGGAAACTTGGAAGCGAGTGCTCCTCACCCTCGTCAAAGCCGTAGTCATCACCATTACCAAGGAGGCAGGCAGTGCAAAACCACTCGTTTTCAGGCACACTCGCCAAAGGTGGATCGAGGCAATAAGTGTGGAACCCTCTGTCGCAGCCGTCACACAGCAATATCTTTGGCGCATGGTTTCCCAGACCACAGATCTCGCAGACCTGCATACGTCAGCCTTCGCACTGGACGTTAGGTCAAACTCACATCACCCTTTTCGTACTTTGGCGGCTCTGAGGAATCCGAGGAAGATGCGCGTGAGGATTCTTCCTCGCTCAGCTCGCTATCGCTGCCGTGGCTGTCGGTATGGAAGCCTGGGACCTTGAGTCGAATTTTGGCTGGGGGTGCAAGTGCACCACTGCCACCTGCTATGGAAGACCCCGTTTCAGGGCCCGAGGCCATGGCGGTCAATTGTGAGGCGCCAGACATGCGCGAGCGGGGTGATGTCCGCATCCCCGTCGCCTTGCCGTTGGCCGTCGGGGTGGATGGACTGTTGTGGATGGTGCTGTGAGCGGCCGTGACCGCACTTCCGGGACCCGAGCCGGGTGGCGACTCTGGGTACGACTTTGCCCGTAGTGCCCAGTTTTCGAAAGGGAGCACTATCTTGATGTACGCCGCCTTGACCTGCGTCGTCGCAGTCGCCTGGTATCCGAGATCGACGGTGATCTTTGTCCACGCCTTGAGGCGATTGACCTCGTCGACACCTCCCAACTTGTTCACCTCCTTCCTCAAGCGCCAGAGGTCGAGCAATCGATGTTCCACTCTAGGGATGTAGGCGGTAGCATCGCCCTGCTGCTTGTGAAACATGCTGAGCTGCTCGAGGAAGTTTATCTTGGCGCGGGAAGCTGCCTCGATCGAGTTGAGACGCTGCAGCCGGGTTGTGAATCGGAAGTTGTCGGTTTCGAGCATGAAGGGCATTTGCCATCCGTCCGGTGGGATGATCTTGCAGATGCCATACTTCTTGGCCTCGGGGGCGATGGAGTCAATGTATGCCATGGGGTTGTCAAACTCGTCGTGCGTAGGGTAATATGCTGGACAGGTCGGGAGGTCGAAGAGACGGGGCTTGTTGCTCCGCTCCGGGTCAGAAGACGGCGCAGTGGTGCGAACGGAGTTGATGTCGAAGGGTGGATTGACCACACGAGTGCGCTTGAGAGGATTGCGCTGGACACTGGGACCAGCAGGAGGTGGTGCTGGGGGCACAAACGACGTGGCGGTGGGGCCAGAAGGTGCAGGAGTGGTGGACGGCGTGCCAGCACGGTCCAACTTTGAGATTGCGTCCTGCTTTGACTTGCGCTGATTGCGCTGCAGCTCCTGCTCTGTCTTGACTGCCGGAGTTGGAACCTGGCCGCCCTGCGGAAAGTTGACGCATGAGACGAAGACTGGCTTGCGTTTCTTTGGTGTCTGCGAAGGGGGGCGTCCTGGTGTTTGAGGCTTGTTGCTCTGAGAGATGGAGGCGGAGGACTCGGAGGAAGGGCCGCTGGCAGCAGCGGATGAACGAGTGGCGCGGCCTGGAGTCTGGGGCTTTTGAGGAGAGCGTCGTAGTGATCGACCGCTGTCAGAGGGTGCGGGAGTGCAAGGCCCCTTTGGTGATGCGGTGGCCGACCACTTGCTGTTGGGTCTTGAAGGGGCCGCCATGGTGGGGCAAGCGATTGAAGAATGAAGATGATGAACAAGGCAGTTTGGATTTGGATGGGTTGATTGATGGGTGGAGGTAGGGAAGGGATCGAAGGATCGAAGCGAGTTGAGAGAGTTGCAACTGACCAACGCCGTATGTGGAGGAGGGGGGCGAGACTGTGTTGATATGTGGTTTGGGACGACGACGGATACGGAGGCGGCGAGAGGGCAGTTACGGCGGTATGGGCGATATGTCGGGGTGCGAGGTGGGCCGGGAGGAATTGAAGATGAGATGAGAGATGAGTTGCAAGAGGGAGGGACAAGTAGTAGCAGAGAGTATTCAGGTCCAAAGAATTGTGGTGGAGATGATACTGATGGGTGATGGAGATTCAAGGGAGCGGGTGGATGGATTGGAGAGAGCTCGTTGGCCGTTTGGCGCGTATGAGGATGGATTCCAACTGCAACTGATTTGGAGCTTTGGAGAGCAATAGCAATAAAGCAGCGTAGACAGAGGTGATGGAACGGGTTAACGGGGGGCTCTGGAATCTGGATGCGCTGAATGCGGATGTGCCGTTGGAGACTGCAAGAGACAGCGGTACGTTTGCCCACTCGAGTATCAGAGATCAAAGGAGAGGCGGGTGTAGGATTGACGATAGTGGGATCTGATGACATTGAATGCATGCTAAAGTAGGCCAGAGGCTTTGTCTTGAAGATTCCATGTTGGTAGATGTCTCGGACTAAAAGAGCTACGGGCTACGGGCGAGGAAACGACGAGGCGACGACGACGAGGAGAGAATAATGAATGGTGGGTGGCCAACTCTCTCCTCCTCGACCTCGTCTCCTTGTCTTGGCTCGGCCGGCGCGGTCCACCCCTCGGCCCTTCATCTCGGCATCAGTCTTATCAATTAGTCACCGCTTCAGGCAATTTTGAGACACCTGCTTCCATACTCATCCAGCATTCTACACGTCATTTATCTCGTCCCAAAGTGAGAGTGGGGCAGCCATCAGTGTTGGTCAAACGGGAAACGGGACGAGGACCCGTTTCACTTTGACCCTTTGGATCCTTCCGTCCATTTATTTGCCCCCGTGCGCACGAACAAGGAGCCTGGCATAATAATTAGCATAAGCCATACATTGTAATCGAGATTAGCTTCAAGCGTGGAATGGGTCGAGCGCGTGCGTGCGGTCAAGTCTAGGGTATACTGAAAGGGCGCGTCCGGGAGGGATGGACGCGGTGCACGCGCCCCCCTTGACGCGCCTGGATCCCATCCAGCGGCCAGCGCCTCGTCGAGCGGCTCGAGTGGCTGCCACCTTGTGCTGCTGTGATCCATGCCATGCTCTCTCCACCACCACTCTCCATATCCTCGTCACTACTCTCACTCTCACTCTCACTCTCACTCTCACTCTCACTCTCATCCTCTCATCTCATCTCTCTTCCACTCACTCCCCTCTCTCTCTCCCCCTCTCTCCTCCCCATCTCCTCATCTCTCCATCTCCCCCCCCCCCGCCCGCCCACACACCGTCTGTACATTCTCCTCAACCTCTTCTCCCTCGCTCCTCTTCATACATCTACATCCAAGAGATACCCAACTCCCCACCCCCCCATCCCGGGGACATAATCCCATAAATCATCACCAACCATGTCCGTCGCCGCCTCTTCCGCATCCCTCGACCACGGACACCACTCGCACCCCTCCCTCACCGAGAGTCAGGGCTCTGTCCTCCACGATTACCTCGGGGACGACAACGATGCCTCCGTCGCCGACTTTAGCGAGATCGCAGACGACGAGCACACTCACACCGATGCCCCCGATGATGTGACCGAGGCCGGCCGCGACAGCGAGGACAAGGAAAACGGCCCCGCACACTCAAACGCCAATTCAAAGGAAGGCGGCGTCAACAAGGTCCTCAAGAGTGGTGTATTTGGTGGTCAGTGCTGACCCCTCCCCCTCCCATCGCGCTCCCCTAAATCGTCGTCGTTTCCAATGCGCTGACCCCCCAGCCTCACCCAAGAACACTGCAGCTCGCAAGGTCGTCAAGCCAGCCGCCACTCGCATCTCGCTCGCCAATCGCAAGCCCTTGACGGCCCCGACGGCAGCCTCAGCTGCGCGCACCGCCAACGCCGCCGTCCCCGGTGCCCAGCCGCCACGCCCGAAGACAGCCTCATCGTCATCAACCGGTCCGGGATCACCCCGTGTCACTAAAGCGCGCCCCCTGGCATCGTCGACAACTCCTGCGGCCAAGGCGCGCACGGGCTCCGCGGCCCCGGCTATGGCAACGGCCACTCGCAATAGACCGACAATCAACAAGCCTACTGCGTCTTCCGCTGCTCCAACCCGCACGACTATCTCGGCGTCGAGTGCGGCCGTGCAGAAGATGCGCGAGGCTCGCGAGGCGCGTCAGGCTGCAGCGGCCGCCGCGAGCAGTGCTCGCGGATCCGCGTCCACCCCTCCCGCGCGCGAGCTCACGTCTGTCGCTTCGACCACGTCCACCCGCACTGCTACTGCGCCTGCGGCCTCTGCTACAGCCACGAAGCCAGTTGCGCGCCCTCGCGCTTCTCTGTCCGTGTCCACCGCGGCTTCTGCATCCGCCCGCACTGCCGCTCGGCATGTCACTGCGGCCTCGACATCTTCTCGCCCTCGTGCGAGCCTTGCGCCGGCCTCCTCCGGTGCCTCTGTGGCTAGAAAGGTAGCCACCGAGGCTGAGGTGCAGGCCCGCATCGATGAGATCACCAAAAAGTTTGAGGAGCAGCATGCGACTCTTGAGGCTAAGATCGCCGAGGAGAAGGCCAACCTCGAGGTCAAGCTCGCCGAGGCTGCCGAGGCCAGCGAGAAGAAGTTTGGCGAGGAGAAGGCCGCGCTCCAGGGCAAGATTGCCGAGCTGGAGGCGCAACGCGACGAGCTTGAGGCTAAGTGAGTACACAGCGCGCGGCATGTGTGTAGCGTGACTGACCCAAACAAGGCTGGCCAAGGTGACCGAGGACCATTCTGCCGCTCAACAGGCACATGCGAGCACTACCGACAAGCTGGAAGAGCTCCAGCGCTCTCACTCTCGTAGCGTTGAAGAGTCGACCAACTCGCGTGCCGCGCTCATTGCCGAGCACGAGGCAAAGATCAAGGAGTGAGTCGGATCATGTAGCGCAGAAACAACTAACGTCAGATTGACTGCCTCCCACGAGGAGTTTGACAACCAGGTCAAGGCCCTCGACACCGAGCTCTCCGAGGCTCTGTCGGCCAAGACCTCGGTCGCCGCCACTCTCGAGTCACTCCAGGCTGAGCTCGCCGCGAAGGTCAAGGAGCATGAAGCTTTCGCCCTCAAGGCCAAGGAGAACACTTCAACGCTGGAGGCCAAAATCGCCAAGCTAGAAATCCTCAAGAAAAAGCTCGAGGATGAGATCGCCGAAGGTGCTGAGGAGGCCGAGAAGAGTATGGCCGGCGCTGTGTCGCTCGAGGGCAAGCTCAGGGACCTGCAGGAGGAGAACGCAGAACTCCAAGTTGAAACCGAAGGCGAGCGCAAGAGGATCAGTGAGGAGCGCACCGGGTGGGAGAAGGAGCGAGCTTCACTCAAGAGTGAGATCGACTCCCATCTCGCAAAGAGCACCTCGGCCAAGGATTCCCTTGACAAGTCTGTGGCTTCGGCCGAGGCGTACGCGTTGGAGATCAAGGTACACTAGAATCGTGCTCACAGCATCAGCTTACTTTAGACCCTCAAGACCCAGCACGCCTCCCTTGTGGAGACCCACGCCGCCCTTAAGGAGTCTCATGAGGTGCTCGTGGCCCAGCACTCGGACGTCTCAAACTCGATCGCCGCGCTTAAGCAATCCGAGAGGTCGTCCCAAGAGGCCGTGACCAAGCTTGAGGCGCAGCTGAAGGAGGCTGAGGAGAAGATCAAGGCCTCCGCCGCAGAGGCATCCGGTGCCGCCGACGCAGCATCTGAACAGCTCCGCACGGAGCTCGCTGAGGCGGTGACGGCTCGTGATTCTGCCCAGGCCAAGCTGGAAGCCGCAGAGAAGGAGGCTGCGGGCTTACGTGATGCCGCGTCCTCCGCTGCTTCGCAGACTGAAGCCCTCAAAGCCACTATTGCGGAGCTCGAGCAGCAGCTCAAGGCGGCCCAGGCGGAGCATGAGGCTAAGCTGTCGGCTAGTGTCCGCGAGGCGCAGGAGAAGGCGTCGGCCGAGCACAAGACAGCCACTGAGGCTATCAAGGCCGAATATGAAAGCAAAATCGCTGCCCTCACCCAGCAATGTGCTTCGATCAAGAAGGAGCACGAGGCCAAGGTTACAGCGCTCACCGCTGAGCTCGACAGTCTGAAGAAGAACGGAGAGGGCTCCGCCGCAACACATGCCAAGGAGCTCGACGCTCTCAAGGCGGAGCATGCGACCAAACTTGCTGCTGCGGTCGCTGCGGCCAAGGAGGCAGGTGACCAGGCGCTTGCCGACAAGGTCAAGGCTCTCGAAACCCAGCACGCTGAGGCGACGAAGACACTCACTGCGACGCATGCCAAGGAGGTCGAGGAGGCCAAGGCTGCCGGCACCAAGCAGGCTGAGGAGCTCCAGTCTCAGCTCACGGCGTCGCGCAGCGAGCACGAGGCTGCGAAGCAGGCACTTGCCACCAGCGTGGGTCAGCACGAGTCGGCTGGCAAGGAGCTTGAGGCTCTCAAGGCCTCACACGCGAAGGAGCTCGAGGCGCTCAAGGCGGCGAACGCCAAAGAGACCGAGGCGCTCAAGGCCTCCCATGCCAAGGAAACTGAGGCGTTGGCGAAGGATCTCGAGACGGTACGCTCCGCACAGGCCGCACTGGCCAAGGAGCTCGAGGACGTGCGCGTTGCCCAGGCAGCCGCTGCCAAGGAACTTGAGGCGTCGCGTGCTGCCCAGGCTAAGACTGCTAATGAGCTGGAGGAGGCCCGCAGCGCTACCGCCACCGCAACCAAGGAGCTGGAGAGCCTCCGCGCGAGCCAAACCGCGGCTGCGAAGCAGCTCGAGGATCAGCGTGCGTCGGCGGCCTCGACCACCAGAGAGCTCGAGGAGGCGCGTGTGCGTCTCAACGACGCTGAGACAATGCGCACACAGCTGCTCACCAAGCTCGAGAATCTTGACATGCAGCTGGCGCAGCGAAAGCACTCTCCACCCGGGTCACCTGTCAAGCGCGCGGGTTCGCCTTCGGAGATCGCACAGTTGCGCAAGGAGCTCGAGGCGCGCACTGACGAGCTTGAGGGCATGAACCTTGTGAGCCCTGTTTCCGACCGCGCTGACGATAGATGCTCGAAATGAACCGGACCGAGTTCGAGCGCGCCATGGACCAGCTGAAAAGTGACCATGCCGCAGCCCTCGCGAGCGTGAACGAGACCGTCGCGGGCCTGCAGGAGCAGCTGAAGACGGAGCTTGCCGAGAAGACGTCGGCGCTCTCCAAGGTCCGCCAGCTCACGGCCGGCTCGGACGGCTCGCCGCGCACCGCGCACATTGCGCAGCTCGAAAACACACTCTCGCAGCTGCGCGCCGAGGTCGCGAGACGCGATGTAGCGGACGCACCCAACGCCCCTGACGATGTGAGTCGTGTCCAGACGCCGCTGATGCCAGGTCGAGTCCACCGACGAGGAGCTTTAACGGTAGACGGGAGATGTTCACGACTCTACGATTAATCCATGCATATACTGTACTGTACTTGCGGCGTGGGTATTGCAGCGTCCGTCGAGAAGGCGTGGAGCGGTAATGCTTTATTTGGGGGAAAGAGCGGACGGGTTCAGCAGAGCGGCTCGACTTACGCTTCTTGCCAGTATCCCTGCCCCACTCTGTCCGCGGTCTTTGATACGACAAGGAGGCCACTGTCCGCCAGGTGGGCGATAGAGAGCTGAAGCCCGCCAGAAGTGGCCGATTAATTACGCGGCGGGTGAGACGAGACAAGGCAACGAGACACGCCTCACGCAAGTCCACGAGGCGGTGTACTGACTGCCCGGATAATAGCTACATTGAAAAGTTACAAATAACAGTGAGTTTCACAACTGTGAGAGAAGTATACTAACACAACGGTGGTACGGAGAGGGCGTGTATGGCTCGAAATCGAGGAAGTTGTTGCGCATCGGAGTGGCTGTGTGCACAAAGGCAGCGGCGGAAGGGGGCCAAGTTGGCGCGTTCGTTCTCAAGCTGAGCTCGGCGGATTTAGGCGAGGTGGGTGTCCTTATGCTGTAGGCTCTTGTCGCTCTTAACCCAGTCATCGCGCACGATTTCGAGCTCGATTTGCTCGTGCCCAGAGTCACTCTTGAGGCGCGAGACGTCCCATCGAATCCAGCCCAAGGACCCCCACACACCGATCGTGCAGAGTGTCGAAATCATCTTCGCGAGCACATATGGGAGGATATCGACGATCGCCTTGCCCTCCGCTTTAGTCTCGAATGGGAACCAGCCTATGTCGAGGGCGGTGCTACCCGACTCAGCGAGTGGAGCCAAGAGCGCCATCGCTGTGCCGAGGTCACTGCATTCTTCCGGCAAGCGGTGCATCGCTAGCTCCTTCAACCCCTGCTTCGCGAGAGCAGGAACCAGCTCTCGCCACCCCCCACTATCCTCACTGATCTCAGAGGAGACGATGAGTCGAACGGGATGGCTGAGGTGGCGGTACGCTTCCAGAACGTCGAAGCTGCGCAGCTCATCGTCCGCTCCAAGGAGGAGGGTGTCGAGATTATCAGCATGTGTGAGCAGGTGGTGGAGAGATGCAAAGTCCAGTGTGCTTGGAAATGTGCGCTCCTCGGGCCAGTGGTAGGACAGCGGGGACCACTGCAAAGAGCGGAGGCGGCTGGGGAAGGTGGTCGCAGCGTGGCTAGAGGATCCAAGCGCCCCGTCGCGAGGGATGAGTTCCGCGAAAAGGAGCGCGAGCGTGGTCTCATCAGTGACTCCCGAGAAGAGCACAAAGTGAGCGAGATTTGGGAGTGCACGCAGCACGCGCACAAGCAGTGCGCTTTCCTCCCAGCACGACCGCTTCCGGTAGCGATGGCGTTCGCCTTGGACCAGCACACCGTTGAACATTTGCATGCTGAGTTGTAACACACTAGTGTGAGCAATGAAAGCTCGCGAGGTCATTTCTCAGCTTACACCACATGCACCGCCCAGTCCGCACGCAAAACTCGTTCCGCCATAGCGATGGTGTGGATGTAGATCTTTCGGAAGAGGAGAGGGCGTACTGCTGCGTAGACTTTGCGACAGATGCGCGCAAATGCCCGTAGGGAGGCATCCTCGTTACGCTCGCTAATCACCAGGAGCGGAGAAGTACTGAGGGTGGTGCCGTAGTCTGCTATCAGCATTTGGAGGATCAGTGGAACGAGGAGAGAGTGGCTGGCAAAAGCGAGGAAGGTGCGCACCCAGCCAAGTTCTCTTCAAGCGATCCAGAGGGTCGTCCAGATGCTCTCCGATTAGACGATAAATCTCGGGATAGAAGGCCGCAAACATGTTGAAAGTGAACGAAATGATATTGTGGAATGGGTGTGTGAGAGAGAGAGAGGGGAGAGCGAACGTGAGAGTGAGAGAGTGAGAGATACGTACAGAAAGAGAAGGCGAGGTGGAGGGGGAATTTATCTAGTTGACAACAATAAACATTCTCCGTAGGGTGACGGGCATCCTGCCCCACTCCTAAATCAAATGACGTGTAGTGCGGCCTCAATCACCCCCGCCCATCTCGACTTTCCTGGCTCATGTCGCAACCAACAACACAGTACATCATCACCATCGCCCGTCCTCCTTCTTCTCGCTCGCTCCCTCCTCCCCCCCCCCCCTTCTTCGCCTCGTCTTTATAAGCTCACCTCCATCATGTCCGACTGGTGGACACAGCCCTCGACGCCTGCGCGCGCAAGTGTCTTCCAGTCCCCCGCCCGTGCTTCCACCAGCCGAGCTCGTTTCGTCGCCGACGACCCCGACCCGTCCGCTGAAGCACCCAAGTTCCTCCCTTCGTTTGTCGCCAGCCCGGCCGGCAAGCACGTCCTGGTTAGCTTTCGGCGTCTGGTGGTGCTGATCATCAGGGCACGTCCCCCGGCAGCGTATCAAGCCCGCCCGCGCCCAAGCGCAGTCCGACCGCGCGCTTCTCCGTCAGCATGGCTGAAAGGTGTGTACTAATTGATCTTCTCCCCCGGTCACTGCCCCCTCTGCAATTCTCTTCGCGACCCTGTTTCTGTCATCTGTTTAAACACCGCGCGCCTCCTTCCGCTGCTGCCGCTTCCTGCAACACACATCCGCTCACACCAGTGTATCGTCCCCTCGCCTCAGCCGCTCTTCGCGCCCTCCCGCTACAACGGAAGACGAGATCCCAACCTCATCGCTGCATGACGATCCCATGCGCCCCGCCTCTGCCCCTGCTGTCGCGCCCGAGGTTCCGCCCGCTCTCGAGCCGTCGCTCGACACCAACATGCTCCATGTCTGGGGCCCACCTCCCGAGCACCTCCCCGCCCTCCGCGCTTATCTCGAGGGTATTGGACCGGTCGTCTCGTACGTGCCAGGGCCAGATGGAAGTAACTGGTGGACCGTGACGTACGCAACGCCTTTGGCGGCAAGCTACGCTCTACGTCGCCACGGAGAGATCGTCAGCGGGCGCTGGATGCTGGGCTTCAAGGTCGCTGGCCCGGGGAGCACGCAGGGCCTCACTCTGGTCAATGGCATGGCGCCTACTGCTGTGGTATCCGCCGGTGTCGGCACGCCTATCCAGCTCAACACGGGCAATATCATGCGCGCAAAACCTAAGCCTCAGGCGCAGACTGACGACTATGCTTGGGAGGAGAACGAGCAGCTGCAGTCCAGCTTGTTGGGTCGTGCCGCCGAGTTCATCGTGAGTTCATTTGTGTCGTGCTCTTTGCGGCTGACACTAGTTCGGCCGCTAAGGCGCACTGTACCGGTAGAGATGGAGGTGATCATACATTGGGCGGCCGTCATGTGCATAGGAGGAGCTGTAGGAGAACCAGTAAGTGAGTCTGTAGAGTGGACGGATAACATGCAACGGATGTTTATGCTATTCTGTGACCAGTTCGCACTACAGGCCGATTGTAAAGCGTTCAAGGGGAGCGAAGCTGCTCTCGCTGGCTGAGAACAGGTCGCGAGTCAGTCGGGAAGTGGGCATTGCACATGAGTTCATGAAAGCGTTCTCGGATTGCGGCATCTCCAGTCTGGGGCATCTCCAGTCAAAGAGGATCTCGACTGAGAAGGTTAGCTGTGCTGTAAAGAAGAACTGAAAACTCACACCGTGATAAGGTGGCCTAAGTAGCAGCGATCTCGACTGAGTGGTCAGAGCCAACCTTGCTGCAGGGCGACGTGTTGCACGACGCGTCAGACGACGGAGTTGAGCGAGTGGAACCAGTGCTATCAGTTGAGGGGGCTGAGCGCGGCGAGCCAACTCTCATGTCGAGTTTCTTCTTGAGTATGCTGGGGACGAAAGGGCGAGAGTGGGCGCTAAGACGCACCGTGCTGGGAGATATCGATGGAGAGTGTGGAGAGCTGGGTACCTTAGCGTCCGCATCGCTGACACCCTCAGAGGGATTGAGCCGCCCGTCGAACCAGTGGTCGGCGAGGCTCTCGGTAGCGAATGGGTCGAAGTTGGGAGCTGCGGCGTGGCGATCGCTGAGAACGCGAGTTTTGAGGATCCGCTCGCCCAACTGGAGGCCGTCGGCATGAGCGAGTGCGTGGGCCGACACATTATTGTCAAACTGGATCAGAGCCGCAGTATCGGAAATCTTGATGACCCGATGGATCGGGCCAAAGGTAGTGCTAAAGATTGTGGTGATGGTCTCCGCATCAGGGAAGGAGTATGGGTCCTGTCATCAGAGATCAGTCTCGAATGGAGATGCCCACGAGGTTCTCCACCAGAACCGTGCTCTCAGGCTGAGGCTCGTGGCGGTTCGACACGGTAGGCGGATGGGCCACGCGGTTGGGGAGGGAGCCTGAGTATTAGTAGCTGCTAGTGGCCCAGCCTATACTCACTATTGAGCATGTTTTTAGCCTCGCGCTGCACAAGGGCCCACGAAACGTCAAGCTTCGACCCGCTGAGAAGTTAGCTCTGGCAGGCGGGCGACTCACTCAATCCATTTGCCGTTCATTTGGCGCATGGCCTCGATTGCCTCATGATGGGTAGACATAAGGACAAAGCCACTGCAGGTCAGCGATGCTGTCTGCCTGTGACTCGCCGGCGGCGACCGATGCCGTCGAGCTGGGAGAGAAGGATGGAGTGCTCGACCATGCCGAAGGGCGTGAACATCGCCTTGAATTCAACCCTTCGTGTCAGCTGCTTCCAGTGTCGAAACCTACTGAGTAAGGTTAAGAGGAAGGTTTAGAACATATAGGTTGCGAGGCTGGCTGCTCGTGTTGTCAGTGGGGTTGAACGGAGACGGCTGAGCCAACGAGATCCCAAAGCCAGGCGGCGCGACACGAGGACGCGATAGCTGAGAGACGAAGTCCCATGTATCCGCCAGGGGTGAGGGGGTAGTCGACGGGCCGGTGCCTACGCGCGAGATTGTACTGGGATCAACAGGCGCGCCAATGAAGTTCAGAACAACTAACATGCCGTTGGCAGCAAAGGCCTCGCGGAGACGGAGTAGTCTGGCGACCTCGGCCTCGGTGGACACCCAGACCTGGGCCCACTGGAACGCGCCCTTAGTCTGACTGTGAAGGAGGATGCCTCTGAGACGAACTATGGTCAGTGACAGCGACAGCTCCCTCCGAGGAAGGTGGACGAACCGCTCTTGCCGAGGAACTCGCCTAGAGCCTCGGTGGTGACTGGTGTCAGCGATGGTCTCATGAGAAATTGCGTGGGATTTCAAAAGGGTGCTTACTAGTCTTGTTCAAGCCGTAAATGCGAACCTCTTCGAGGCCAATGGCTGCAGCTTGCATTTCAGATCGAGCTGAGCTGGGGTTTAGAGGGGAGAGTGTCACGGGAAGTGGGGGTGTATCCACAGCCGCGCAAAGCAGAGGCAGGGAAGAAGGCGATTTGAGCAGTGAAGAGGGGGTGAGATTAAGATGAGTGGTGATGGCGAAGAGTGCGTCGCCGGACTCTTTAGGAAGGAGTAGACGATGATTGAGGAGTAAGTGATGAAGAGAAAAGAGAAAAGAGAAGAGAGTGAGAGGAGAAGAGAGTTGAAAAGGAAAGTGAGTTGCTGTGCTAGCGGGGTGGAAGCTGGCCTGGTGAGGAAGGTGGGGGTTGTGGCAGAGAGTGGCTGTTTGTCATCTCCGAGGTCCAGCATAAGCCCGTTCTCGCTGTGCTCGCTCTCACTGGTGACAGGCAGCAGCCTCATGTGTGCTGCGGACGGCTAGTTGTCGGACATGATGACTGGGAGCATGGGAGAGGAAGTGTCGGACAGAGGAGTGGCGCAATGGCGGTCGATCTGTTATATCCGACCGACTTATGAGGTATAGTGCAGACTATGTCGGTATGGGCCTGTCCTGCGTGGGAGCGCATGCCCGTAAATCGTTGGACCGTGAACCATGGAGATCATGATCGTGGTGAGTGTGGAAAGTGTGGGGTTAATGACGATGGAACTGCAGGAGGAGAGGCAGCAAGACATGAGCTCGGAGCAGCGCGCAGCATAGCCCCCTCGGGCCCCTCGGACCATGTCAGATCTCTTGCGCCCTCCAGATGATCTTGTCCATATCGCTCCCGAGGTAGCGCCAGTCGGAGATCCGACGGCTAGCCACTTCGTGTTCTCTCAGTCCGTCATTGCAATCGACTTAGTAGCTCAACAGCCCAGACAATCTGAGCCTTGCTCTTCTCACATCTCGAACGACCAGTGTTTAATGTTGTAGTTGAGTAGCCATGCTGGCCACTCTGGATATGCTGGACAGAGACACGGACAACGTGAACGGCGGAGTTTACGTTCAGCCGCACCAGCCGTACTTGAGTGTGGAGCAATTCAGCATCACAGGCTATCAAGCCAGCACACGCACCAGGAGACAAGATGCTCGCTGCTCGCTGATCGCTAATTGTCGACGGCGGTAAGGGCGACGAGCGCGACAATGTGCGTGAGCACCGTCCAGGTGCGTGATGCGGACGTTGGATCGGTGGAGGTCCTCATTACACTAGAGGTATTACATCAGATTACATTGCCTAAGGAAGTTGATTCCGCTCCCCCCGCCACGCGAGCAGTGACGACACTGACAAGTGGTGAAGGCTGACCGCTGACCACTCGCTGTTGATCGCTGGCGCGTTGCTTGCTTCATAAATCGCAATCGTCAATCTCAACGTCGCTCAACCACCGCATCCCTCTACTCATCTCGGAAACATGAGCTACGGTTTTGGCGGCAACGATGGTACGTCTGCTTACTGTTCGTGCGATACCGCTCGGACGCGGCCGCGCGCTTCTCCTCACGAGAGTATAGTTGACGGACGCTGACTGCGAAGGATTCCCTCCCGGTGGGGGCGGTCCAGGAGGCCTCTTCGCTCACCTAATGGGCAACATCGGCGGGCGCCGTAGCGCTGCTCAGTGAGATTCTTGTATTAACATCCAGGACGCTAATGCCAGCAGCTACGATGACTATTTCAAGGCGTTCTCGGTGGCAACCATGCCCCACGGACATGATCGCCCTCAACTCATGTATGGCGGCAAGAGTGAGTTGTATTTGGCTGGCAATCGAATGTCGACTAACTCACCAGTCATCATGCCCCCCTCCGCGCTCGCGCGTCTCAGTGAGTAGCCGAGGCCCGCGGAGGTGCGCATGCTGACTTGACCCAGCGTCTCTCGATATCGATGGGCCGTGGACCTTCTGCCTACGCAATCCTCGGAACCCTCACATCAACCAGACGCATGCTGGTGTGCTGGAATTTATTGCCGACGAAGGGATCGTGTACCTGCCGGCCTGGGTGAGCTTATCGCAAGAACCAGAAGACTGACAACAGATGATGCAGACTTTGCAGTTGAACGAAGGCGACCCAGTGCGCCTCACTGGCGCGGAGCTGCCGAAGGGCAAGTTTGTCAAGATTCAGGCGCAGTCTGTCGACTTCCTCCAGGTGTCGGACCCCAAGGCTGTGTACGTTGATCGTAGGGCACGGGCGCTGACTGAGCAGCCTGGAGTCGGCCCTCCGCGCGTACTCTGCTCTCACCAAGGGTGACATTATCGAGATCACCTACAACTCGCTCGTCTTCGAGTTCCTCGTAATGGAGACGCAGCCTGAAGGGACTGGCATATCCATCATTGACACGGATCTGGAAGTTGACTTTGCGCCGCCGAAGGGGTACGTTGAGCCAGAACGTAAGGCGCCAGCTCCACCCCCCACAATGGCGGACAAGCTCAAGATTGATACGGCGTCGATGGAGACTTCGCGCCCACAGTCTTCCCTATCCATCCGCACGTCGGGTTCAGGAGACAACGCTGTCGAAAGCTTTACTGGTGTCGGGCACAGCCTCAGCGGCAAGCGTGTCCGAGGAAAGGGCTTAGCAAAGAAGATCGAGGAGGTGGACCCCGCCAGTAAAATCAACCGCAACCTGTGAGTCAAGGTCGTCGAACTCTCTGGCTGACAACAGCGGGCCTCGCATCATCACACCCGACAACATCGAAGGCGACCGCAAGGTTCCTGGGCCGCTCATTTTGCCCGCGGGCAAGTTCTTCTTTGGCTTCAAGTACGTGCCCTTCGATCCCAAGAAGGCGCCCAAGAAGCCGGAAGAGGGTGTCGTCGTTGCGCCGTCCCCATTCCAAGGGCAGGGTAATTCTCTGCGCAAGGGAGCTGTGAACAACGCCGCGGCTTCCGCATCTGCTCCTTCTCCGACGAAGCCCGAGGACGACGACTCCAAGCCCGACCCATGGGCAAACCTTGGTAGCGGAAACACTCTGAGCGGGCGCAAGCGCACAGCGGAGAAATCATCGGAACACAAGATCACATCTCCACAGCAGCAGGCGCGTGACGACGTTATAGACGCAACGATGCTGGATGAGGACGACTTCATGTTCGGAGAAGACTACGATGACGACGATTACATTGAGGTTGACTCGGACTAGTCATGGTGTCAACTGCCACCTAATGACGGCTGGCGAGGGATCTACGCGTACATAATGTATATGGGGGGCATCCTCGGTGAGGGGCCCACGTCACAGCATAGGAGATGTCCAACAACCCGGGGCTCGTATGCATGTAACACTAGACTGTGACAATAGTTTTGCTCCTCTATGCCTTACTCAGGCGCTCCTCGTACGCCTTCCACCCCTCAGCGCGGTACTTCTCCGCCTCGGCGAGGACAGCTTCCGCGCCGCCTTGCACGCCATAGATGCCGCGTCCGACGATGATCACGTCGCAGCCCGAGTCGTAAACAACCTCGCGGGGTGTCCTGTACTGCTGGCCGAGCTTGTCGCCCTTAGCGACGAGCCCGACGCCAGGGGTCAACACGAGGAAGTCCTCGTCTGCGTCTCCGCCCTCGTCGACACGGCCCATGGCAATAAACCCAACGACCCAATCACGCCCGGCCTCGCGCGCCATGCGCACCGCAGTGCGCGTGTACTCGCCCGTAGCGAGGTTTCCTGCGCTGCTCATCTCAGCGAGGAGGAGGAGGGCGCGGCCGAGAGGCTTGCCGACGACGCCGAGGCCCGTGATAATCCCCGGGCCGGGGAGGGGGTGTGCGTTCGTCATGTGGCTCCACTCGGCGATGCGGTGCACGCCGCTCGAGTACTGCAGGCTGACGGTGTTGCCGATATCGGCGAACTTGCGGTCTTCGAAGATGACGAAGTCGTTCTCGTCCGCGAGGCGCGCGAGCTCGGCGGTCAGCGCAGGCGTAAAGTCCTCGATGATGTCGATGTGCGTCTGGCGTCAGAGAAGCCTCGCGGGACCGCACCTTGACCATGCAGACGGCGGGGGCGACGCGGCGGACGACCTCGAGCACGTCCGCAGACTTGGTCACGTCGACCGAGACGCAGAGGTTGGTCTTCTTGCGCTCCATCGTCTCGAGGAGGCGGCGCGCCGTCGCGTTCGGGTGCGCGGCCGCGCGCGCGCCATACGTCTTGAGCGTGGTGGGGTGGGGCATGGTGCTTGCTGCGCGAGCAGAAGAAAGAGAAGATCCGGCGCGCGCCGAAGTGCAGGCCAAAGTTGGAATTGCAGGACATTCATTGCCAGGCACCCGTGGGAGATCGAGCCACGTGCTCGGCTCCGCTCCAGGCGGCACGGCTACCCGGCCTCCATTGCCGGTGGCCTCGGTGCCCATCTCAACATTGTCAACCACTTGTCCCACCATGCCGCCGACGCCGCTCTTCCCCGAGGCGGGGCCGAGCAACGCCCATCTGAGGCCGCACCTCGTCGAGCTCATCCCGCAGGAGCAGCTGCGGCTCGTCCTTCACCCCGTGTTCCGATATGTGTTGACTGTGCGACATGAGATGACCACGCTGACAGCAGTACTTGGCTCACCACTACCCACGATACTTTTTGCGCATCGTCAACCGGCACGAGGAGGCGTTTGCGCTCGTGCTCCTGCTCGTTGAGCGGCATCACTTGTGGAAGCATGGTGAGTCATCCCTCACAGCACCCCGTCACGACTACGCCCGCTCGGTCGCGCCTCACTCGGGCTCACACCAGACGCATCGCTCTCCGAGTTCTTCTACCAGCTCCGCCTGGTGCCGGACCACACGCCGACGCCGCGCCTCAGCAGTGTGCATCCGACGACGACGCCGCGGCTCTCGAACCGGCAGCGGTGGGGGATGCTGCTCATCCTCGTGGGCCTGCCGTACGTCCGTGCGCGCGCCGACGACGCGTACGACCGCTGGTCGACGCAAAACGACCCCGAAATCGCGCTCGCAGACCAGGGCCCGCCGCTGAGCCGCGCACAGCGCCTCTTCGTCTCCCTCTACCCGTGGCTCAGCACGGGCTTCGAGGCCACGCTGCTGGCCTACGACTTCGCGTACCTGTTCGACAAGACGCCCTACTTTCGCCCATGGATGCGGTGGCTCGGCGTGCACGTCGAGCGGCGGCAGGACGCGGAAGACCCGAACGCCGCCCAAAGCCTGCTCGCCAAGCTCCCGCCGCTCCTGCCCCCGCTCCTCCTCATGCTCAAGTTCGCGCAGTGGTGGTACTCGCCGACGTCGCCGCGCTCGCTGCCCACCACGCAGGCCAGTAAGAGCATGCACACGAGCGTCCTCCCGCCCCGCCCGCTGCCGATCTCGCCGGAGAGCGGGCTCCTCTCGCCACCCGGCACGCCTGCCGAGGACGGCGCGGTGGGATACACCATCGGCGCGGCAGAGTTCGGGCACTGCCCCATCTGCCGCAACAAGTGGCAGAACGCCGCCATCCTCCCCTCCGGCTGGGTGGTGTGCTGGCGCTGCGGGTGGGACGCGATCACGGGCGAGGGTGATCTCGGCGAGGCGGGGAAGGGCAAGTGCCCAATCACGGGGGTTGCGGTACACCAGAGCGAGCTGCGGCGTGTGCTTGTGTAGTGAGAGTGTGGAGTGTGTGTTGGAGCGCAAGCGTGGCGGAGACAGACAATACATGTGCATGGATACGGTACAGAATCACGGCGGACAACAACTCTATGGCGACGCGACGCGGTAGCTCGCCTTCCACTCGTCTCCCTCGGTGTCGAGGTACTCGATGCGCACAAACTCAAACTGGAATCAGCTGGGTCGCGAGGTGAGACACTCACGCGCGTGTCGTCCCGGAGGGCGCTGGCGAGCTCGACCGCCTCGATGGCATCGAGGCCGAGGTCGCGCCCTTCGATGCGCACGTTTCCTCCGGACCAGAGGTGGATGGGGGACTTTGGCTGGCGTTAGGTCTCCTGCTGCGGCAGATAGCAGATAGTGGCGGCACGGAGTGGCGGGGCTCACCTGCTGCGCGACGATGTGCGCAATCATGTCGCCTGGTGTGCGCGAGCGCGACGACGACGTCGACGACGCAGATCCGACAGACGTGTTCGAGTTGGAGCGGGCCTTGAGCATGGTGGATGGGGAGTGTCGAGCCGGAGCGCGGCTGCTGCCTTTTTGGCTGTTGCGCTGCGCCGCATCGTGCATGTCAAGCGTAGACATCCAAGGTGGAGCGCCCGTCCCACCCCGTCCGTGTCATCCGTTGCACGCTCGCCGATCTCTGCCGTGTTATTCTCAATCTCAATTCGCGGTGGGAACTATTCTCTCATCCGGCCCGGGCCAGGCGGGCCTTCTCGGCGCCACGACGTGGGTGGCGGGCGCGATCGGTGCGTTGTTTGGAGCATGCACCGGCACGCCGGCTCGGCTGGCGCCGCGCTGACGCCACACCCGTGAGCATGTGCATGTGCATGAGCGTGAACAGTGGCGAACGTTCTGTTGGCCAGTCTGATGCAACTCGATGTATCAGCGGCGGAAACCCCTCAATTGGCGGCGCACACGTCATCACATTGGCACATCATATCGCTCATCCCTCATCGCGCATGGATAGTGTGGGAGGTTCACGCGTGCGAGTTGCGCCGGAGCCCGAGCTCCATGTCGAGGTGTGGAGATGTGGAGATGGTGACGATGGAAACTGTTCTTCCGTCCCGGTGATCTGTTGTTCTATGCGCCCTGCACCGGCGCCCCACGCCCCGGACAAGCCGGCTGGGACGATTGATCGCACGCACGCTTCCGGCTGGGTTCGGGTGGCGACCGGCGGAGAGTGATAGCGTGTGCGATGGAGCACCGTGTGGTGTGAGGTGCAATACAAGTGCGGCATTGCGCGGAATCGCCCACGCCCGCCGACATCCACTTGTCTATCAGTCATGCGATATCGCGCACCCCTCGTTCCTCCCACCCCCTCATACCGAAGACTGATTATCGCTTAGGCATGCTTAGCAGAGGCACGTTCACGACGCCAGCCCAGGTGAAAATAGCAAATACATTACGACTGAACCCCAAGATCTGGCCAACTACTCGCACTCCCCTACAGGTCCTGCGAGTACACCTGCTCCTTGCCTTCCATGCTGGCCTGGAGGCCGTTGAGGCGGTCGACCATGGGCCAGAGCGACTGCGGGAGCGTGCTCTTGAACGCGGGGTCGGTGGCGTATCCCAGCCCGTGCTGCAGGAGGTTGCGGGCGCGGCTGGTGTCGCCGGGCGGCGGGCAGCCGTAGCACCCGTGCAGCGTACGCCGCTTCACTGCGAGGTTGTACTTGCCGACGTGCACTGGGGTTAGATTCTTTCCGTGGTCCACCTTGCCCGTCGTCGCCCGCCCACTCACTAATGTTGTTGTTGTAGAACACGCCCTGGCCCTTCTTGAGCGCGAGCGTCTGGGCGCCCGGCATCTCGCCGCCCTCGAGGTTGGCCTTGCGCTCTGCGCTCGTGCGCACGCGGTTGTGGCTGCGCGGGATGGCGGTGAGGCATGCGTCGTCGTACAGCGCAACATTCCACTGGATGCTGTAGTGCTTGATCTTGAGCTCCTCCTCCTCCTCTTCGGGCGTCGCGGTCGCCTTGATGTCGTCGCGGTGCCACGACAGCGCATAGTCCTTCTCGAGGGGGTTGACGAGGATGTTGAAAAGTTCTGGTGTGAGCGCTACCCGGGGACAACGCACCAAACTGCATGTCGTCGCGCGTCACGCCCATGAGCGCGGCGGAGACGTCGAGCAAGTCGTCGCTGCCGTACCACTGCGCGAAGACGGGCTGGGCGAGGTCGGGGTGCATGATGTTCTGGACGCCCCAGACGTCGTCGCCCTCGACCCACGGCGGGAACTGCTTGCCGACCATGCGCACGTCCTTCCACTCGCGCCGCCGCGCCTTGTCCGTGACTTCGTCGGCGGCGGCGCAGAGCGGCTCGTACAGCTCGTCGGGGATCAGGCCGTCGATAATGACATAGCCGTCGGTGTGGTACTGGTGTGAGCGGCGAGCGGCGAGCGGAGCGAGCCGGGGCGGGTGCAGCAAGCAGCGACCCGAGGGCAAAGAAGGGGGGAAGCCGGACCACCTCCACCTCCACCAGAACTCACCTTGTTGACGATCTCGTCAAGCTGGCTCTTGGTGAATGGCATGTTCTCTGCTGTAGTGTTGTGTGTTGTGTGCTGCGTGCTGCGTGCTGCGTGCTGCGTACTGTGTGCTGCGCTGTAATGATGTGCGGGGGTGTCGTCTGTCGACCGACTTTATGAGCGGCGCGAGACAGAGAATCGGCGCGTTCGCCGACCCGGTCCCGGCCGGCGTGCCTCCCGACGACCAGCGGGGCCAGTATTTGTTCATTGCCAAGCCCAGGATTCCCGTGCATGCCCCAGATTCCCGTGCGGGGCTGCACATTCCCGTTCGCGGGCGTGTGATTGACTATTGCGCGGGGGTGATTGACTATTGCGAGGTCGACTATGGTGAGGATGACTACTCCAGATTGACTATTCGCGGATTGACTATCGTGAGGATTGACTATTTCTGAAACCGCGATGACACGCCGTGCGCCCCGAGTGCTCGGCCGAGCGCGACCACCGCCACGCACGTGGTATACAGATGCATCGGTCTATCATGCAATGAGGCAGAATGGCAAATGGTCATGAACAGGGATGAGCAGGAGGAGCACTACGCCTTCTTGCCGGCCTTGGCCTCCTTGCGCTTGCGCTTCTCAATCTCGCGCCGGCGTGTTTCGAGCTTCTCCTTCTGATTGTTAGCGGGGGGTGGGGGTTCGGCCGGTGCGTGCTAGTCGCTCTGCGCGCGTTCTCTGCGCGCTCTCTCCCCGCGCCTACGCACTTGCGCTCTCGCACTCGCACTCTCATTCTCTCGTTCTCTCGTTCTCGCGCACTCGCTGCGCTCGTGCACTCGTACTCACCTCAGCTTGCCGCTCCGCGTTCCCATACTTCATCTTCTCGTACAGCTTGGCCTTCTTGTTGCTCATCATGATCTTGCGGAGGTCCTCGTCCGCGCGCGCGTTGGCCGCCTTCTTGCCGCCGTGCAGCTTGGTCGCCTCCTTGAGCTGGGCCTTGAACTCGGCGTGGCTCGTGCCGTTCGCCTCGGCCTCGAGCTCGGCGGCATGCACGAGCGCGGGTTCGGGGTTCTTGGCGGCGGCGAGGAGTGCTGGGGGGAACGCGGCGTCCTTCTCCTCCTCTTCGTCATCCTCCTCTTCGTCATCGCCCTCCTCCTCCTCCCCCTCCTCCTCATCCTCCTCGGCAGCCTCAGCTCCCTCAGCCCCAGCCCCGGCCTCCAGCCACGGCCGCTCCGGCTCGCCCTCACCGTCCCACGGACTCAGGTGGGGCGGGAGGAGCTTGCCGGGCGCATACTCGTCCGTGGCGAGGACTTTGGCGCGGTTGACGCAGTCGGCGACCCACTGCGGCTGGACCCACACCCACTTGCGCCCGCCTTCGAGCTCGCGCCGCCGCTCGTCCGTCATCGGCCGGTCGATGAGCACGTGCGTGATCGCGTCCGCGTTCGGCGCTTCGCCGGGCGACGGCGCCGCGAGCGACGTCACGACCTTGCCGCCCATGGCGCGGATGACGAACTCCCACGTGCGCGAGCTCGTCTCGCGCGAGAGGTAGAATGTGTACGGCGAGAACAGGAGCTTGTCCTTGTTCGCGGCGGCGTCGCTCTTCGCCAGCAGCGACGTGTATGTCGGCAGGGCGCCGGTGGCGACGTCTTCGACCTCGGCGTTCTTCGCGGGGCGCGCGACGAACTCCTCCTCCTCCTCGGCCTCTTCTTCGGCCATCTCGACGTCGTCGTCGTCGACGTCTTGGACGCGTGCGGTGATGCCCTTGATCGCCCGCTTCACCGCCTTCTTCGACACGGCGGCGGGCGCGGCGCCCACCGTCTTGTTCTCGACGAGGCGGAACGCGCCGACGGCTTCGCCGCGCTCGTCCATCTCCACATCCAGCGGCGGGGGGTAGACGAGGTTCTCGTCCGTATACAGCTTGTACAGCACGAAACTGCACACGGTGCGGTACAGCTCGAGGAAGGTGAGGAGGATGCGGAAGTCGACGTCGTGCGGCACATGCTGCTGGAACTCGTACCCCTCGAGCCAGCGGACGGTGACGGGCGCACTCCCGTGCCCCGGCACCTCGACTTCGTAGTACACGCCCTTGATGCCGAGGAAGACTTTGCGGAGTGCGTGTGTGCGGATCGCCCACACCTTCCACTCGTTGTTGAGGCGCGCGCACTCGGCAATCACTTCGCGCGGCACGAGCGTCTTGCCTGGAATCGGGTTCGTGGGGAGCTTGCTGAAGAGGTGCACGAGGTTCAGCGGGTCTTGGAGGTCCTGCAGCGCGAGCGTGAATGTCGGATAACGCTCTTTCACGATGTGGTCGAGGCGCGCGACGGGTTTGGCCTGCTCGAGGTTCTTGGCGAGGCCCCACTCGCCGCGCCCGACGGCGCGCGCGAGCTTCTTCGAGAACGCCTTGTGTTCGCGGAACTTGGCGAGCAGCGGCTCGTGCAGCAGATACTGGATGTCTTTGTGGTAGTAGAACGACGCGGGGGCCGACGAGCCCTTGTTCGCGCGCTTCTTGTGCAGCGGGTCGCGCGGGTAGATGCCTGTGTGTTAGGTCACGCGGCCAGGCGTACGGAGTGAGACTCACCCTTGAGAATACACAAGCGACGGAAGTCGGACAGCGACACCTGCAGCTTCTTGAGCGCTTGGTTGCGGGTCACGTAGTTCTTGGCCGCGCCGGACTCGCCCTTCTTCTTGATTTTGGCCATGGTTGATGGCGTGTGGTGTGGTGTGGGGAGAGGAAGTCGAGTTGCCCGACTCTCGTCGCCGGTCGCTGGTCCTCGTCGCAAAACATCAGAGGTGGAGGCGGCAAGATACGAAATTTTTGATCCCGCCGGCCGCACGTGGCCTCCACTTGCACTTCCCACTTGGCCACCCATCCCAATTCCGCAATGCGATTCACGGCCGGAGAGCAGTTCAAGGCCGCAGACCCGCTCGCGGCGCGCTCTCAGCATGCCCAAGAAACCAAAGTGCCCCGTATGCGGGTCCCGCAAATGGCGCAAGACGCGGGACGGCCAAGTGGTCTGCGAAGACGGGCACGTGTTGCAGGTGCGCTTAGCGCGTGCACGCTGACACCAGGGCGTGCGGACGGAGACGAACGAGATGACGGGGCCGACAGCGCACGCGCTGCAGAAGCGGCGCATGCTCAAGGGCGGCGAGCGGATCAACAAGCGCAAAGTGTACGGCCGCGCCGACCGGGGCGTGTATCACGGCGCGCAGGCCGAGGCGCTGCGCTTGCAGGGCTTGCAGGTGTTGCTGCGGCATCAGGTGGCGGCGGTGCGGCGGCTGTGGGGTGTGCCGGAGGCGCTGGAGGCGATCGCGCGCGATTTGTGGGCGTATCAAGTGATTCTTAGTGGGCGGGAGGGGGGGAGGGGGCGGAAGAGCCGGCGGCGGAGTTTGGGGGACGACGTGACGACGCCGACGCAGACGGACGGCGAGGGGGAGGGGGAGGGGGACAGTGGGAGCGAGAGTGGGAGTGATGGGAGTGATGGAGGGAGTGGGAGCGGGAAGAGCGACAGCGACAAGGAAGAGGAGAGCGAGTTCGAACTCGATGCGGACTTGGTTGCGCTGGACGACGACGACGACGGCGACGGCGACGGCGATGCCGACCCCGGCCCCGACGACGGCATAGAAGGGAGCGAAGACGAAACCAAACCACCATGGAAGCGGCTGCGCGCGCTGCGCATCTCGGACGTACTCGTAACCCTCGCATTATCGCTCTACATCCTGCGGGTGCCCTTCACCTTCCAGCGCCTCGAGGCGCTGGTAAACACCGCCCAAATCCCATATATTGACTTTGCGCGCACGACGCTTCTGCCCCCGCCGATGGTGCGGCACATGAACCGCGGCGTGCGCCGCTCGCTGCGGCCGCAGCGCGCGCCGGCGGCCATGCACCTGTGGGAGAACACACACGTGTTCGCGCGCGTCCTCCACGTCTACTTTGCCGTGCCGTTGCCCGAGGCCAACATCCCCCCCGTGGCGTGGTTCGTGGTCTCGCAGCTCGGGGGGACGGGTGGGTGCCGCTCCGGACGCGCTGACGCCAGCAAGGACGTACGACCAGGTCGTGCGGCTGCTCGCTATCGTCGTCCCGAACCTCGGGATCACCGCGCGCGCATATGCGCCGCGCGAGGTCGTGCGGCGCACGGGCGCGTATGCCGCCGCCATGCCGCGCGCGTGGGACGCAGTCATGCCAGAGCTGACAGTCGCCGCCGCGTGGGTGGTCGTTATGAAGATGGCGTACGGGCTGGATGGGCGTACGAGGTGTGTGCGCACGAGAGAGCAGAGAGGGCGGAGGCAGAGAACTGGGAGCTGACGGTAGGCTGCGGCTGCGCGCGGACGCGGCGCTCGGCATGCCGAAAATGGAGGAGTGGGTGGGCGAGCTCGAGCGCCGGCTGTGCGCCGGCGCATTCACAGGCTCGTTGCGCGATCTCGAGCCGCTCCAATTCCACGAGATGGGCGGGGTGGCAATCGACGCGTTCCTCGATCGCGCGGAGCATGTGCTCCTCGCCGATCGCGTTGGGGGCGCGGGCGCGGCGTTCCCACTCCCCCGCGTCGCGCGGACGGCGTACGATCCGAATTCGTGGGCCGCGTTCCACGCGCGCTCCGAGGAGGCGAGACCTGCTCGACATGCACGCATGCGCACGCGCAGCCGAACAAAGTCTGGCCGCGCGCAGGGCTGCGCGTCCGCGCACGACATGACGACGCCCGACCTCCCCCTCCTACCTGGCGACGCGGTGCGGATTTACACCCTCGACAAGGGTGTGCCGCACGAGCTCGGGATCGTGCTGGCGTCGGCGGCGGCGGTCGTGGGCGTCGACGTCGACGCGGTGCGGCGGCTCGTGAACCGCTTCGAGAGGCGGATGGAGCGCGCGCGGCCAAAGGGCCCGGCGGGGCGGCGGAGCCTCGGCGCGTTACGCGAGACACGGAGTTTTGGGAGTTTGGGTGAGGTGCGGTAGGCGCGCGTCATGCGAAGCGGTCGGAAGTGCATGGCATTCGGCGGTCCTGATATCTGGTATGGCTAGAGTGGACGCGTTGATGCGTGCATCTTGGCATGGCTCATTTAGGGCGGTTTCTCCGTATGGCTATCGTAGGTTAAGCAAGTCTATCTTGCGGCCGCGCTGAGTACTCCACCCACCCACTGTCTTATTATCCACAATATCCTCTGACAGGTGAATATCCACAATTCCCTTGGCGCGGGTGACTTCGCCTCGACGCGCGCGTCAGCATCAACTCGAACTCTATTTAGTCGACCTTGCTCTCCTCTGCCGGCTCCGCTCCGCGCTCATGCCCCCTCCGACCCCCACCCCAACTCTGCACCCAGCCTGGCACATGGCACACCCGGACCTTTTTGAGTAACTCAGCACAGCCCTGTTCCCCCATCTTGTCATTTTACAAGTTGGCGTGGAGAGTAACCTCGGCGGAATAAATGGCATGAATGCGTTGAATGAATAGAGAGCATGCATATTGGCAACTGGCGACTACGGGCGATCAGATTGAGCACAAGTCGATCAAACCAAGGCCTTGTTTGCAAGCGAGCTGAAGCGAACCGAGGCTTTTGCGATGAGCACGAGATTTGTAACGCCGAGGGCGACGCGACGGCGACGAACGCAGCGCAGCGCAGAACAAAGGCTGTACAGTACAACAACACGGCGTGACTTGCATGAGTGGGAGCTGGGAGATGGAGTCGTACTGGAATATTGCAAGGTTGAAACATCCCTGGACGGAGGACACACCTGGGACCTGGGGACATCCCACATCCCACGCCGCAAACGCCACCTTTTAGCCGTCCACCCTGGAGCGTGGATATAAGGAAAATGGAATAAGAAGTATTGTAATGAGTACTATTGTATTGTATTTCCCCTCGCGCATCATCCATCAAAGAGGAGTAATAGTGCTTTCTCTCTTTCCCTTGCTCCATCCATTTGGCCCGTCACTCTCTCTCTCGCTCCCGTCGCTCTCTCTCTCCTCGTCGTCGTCGTCGTCGTGAGTTGCTCTCTCCATCTCATCTCATCTCATCTCTCTCCCGGACACTAACCACAACAACAACATCTACACACACACACACACCATCTCCATCTCCATCTCCATCTCTCATCTCCCTCCTCCTCCTCCTCCTCATCTCTCCTCCGCCATCCCTCCTCCTCAACCCAACCTCAACTGCACCCGCGCACGCCCCAACCCCCTCCCTCGCACCCCGCACGCTCATCAACGCACCCTCCTCCCTCTCGTACATATACTACCCAACCCCCATGGCCGCCGCTCACCTCTCCCATCATCCTCGCCCCGCCTCTCCTCCAATCTCGGTCCTCTCACGTCCCCCAATCCTCCCCATTCGTTCAACTACCGCCGCCTCCTCCTCCTCCTCCTCCTCCTCCGCCTCCTCCTCTTCCTCTTTCGCATCCGGTCAATCTCTTTCCTCTGTACTCTCTATACCCACCGACACTATCATCGACGGACAATCCTCATACTCATCCTCCTCTGCTGCCACCACCACCAAACGCAACTCGCGCGGCGCTCCTCCCTCCGCTTTTCAACGTTCCCGTTACAGTGCCCCTGCCCCCCCACTCTTTGACGGTCAAGACACTCGCAAAAGCGTCCTTGACATCCTCAAATCCATCGACAACGAGTGGGAAATTCTTGACCCCACCGCAGTCATCCCCACCGACCTCAACTCGTCGCCCAAGCGCTCGCGCCGCTCAAAGGGTGAACGAGTTTCCGCAATGTCTACAGCCGATCCCTCGCGTCAAGGCGCTCAGAAGAAGCCCAGCCTCTTTCGTCGTCTAACACAATCTTCATCTTCACAATCTTCCGCTCCTCCTCCTCCTGTCGCTCCTCCCGCAGCCCCGCCCCAGCTGCCTCGTCTTTCAACTCTTCTCAGTGACAGCTCTGCCCCTCTTGCGTCCGTCACCAAGGGTGGTCCCGTTGGTGGTGTCGGCGGTGTCGGCGGCGGCGGCGCATACCCAAGCAACCCCGGCAAACCCACCCCCACCACCACTATCACCACCACCACCACCACCACCGGCGGCTTGACGTCCGGTACGCTGTTCGGAGATTCGCCACCTCACACCCCTGTCTCATACAATTACAACAACACACACTCGTTGCCTCCCGGCGCTGCTGCACCCACACCATCCTCCAGCAACATGTCGCCTCCTAACGGCTTGGACGCCCAGCGCTCTGGCTTCCGCGTTCAGAGTAGAGCTCAAGGTGAGCATTCCGCAACCTACCCC